TCGGGTGCCGTAGTACAATGTAAAACATTCTCATCCGATGGTTTGTTGACCATTTCAGCTACCGTACAAATATACACAACTCTCAAAACCGTGGTTGCTAGAAAACGTTAATAGCCTGATGCTTTTGAACAAAACCAGCATAGGAAGGGTACGGAAAGCAAGTGAAATTTCGAATACCAAACCCAGAAGCCTGCTTCTAACTGAATTTCGGCCGTTGAAATTAATTCCGATAACACCTTGTCGGTCATACATTTGATCTGATATATTAATTTCAACACTTCCATGATCATTTTTTTTATTTACATAAGCTGCATCGGCTAATTAGCTATTAGCAGCGGATTTAATGAGTACATGAATCAAATTTTATGTATTGAATTACAATGGCTCAAGAACAACATTAGATTTCGGACATTGCAGGTGGCTCCAATTATGTCTTTTAGAGTTTTACCACAGAGATTAAACTGATGTCTTTGTTGTTCGAACATTGGGCACTCCACTAGAATGTGTTTTACCGATAAAACGCTTTCGCACACAAAACACATTGGTTCAGGGTCACGGGTGATGAGGTAGCTGTGGGTGATTCTTGTGTGGCCCAGTCGGAGGCGGGTTATTATCACTTGCAGTCTCCTTTTTTCTGTTACTGTTTGCAATTCATTGAGCTTGGGTTTCACTTCTTGTAGTTTGGAAGGGTTGTTCTTCCACACACTATTCCACTGGTCTATTGTTTTACCTTTTACATATACCTTCATATCTGATGCTGGAACTGGGAGGTTGCAGATGCTGTTGTTCGTTGCCGCTCTTTTAGCGTTTGTATAAGTACATAAGTACTATAATCTGGTTATTGTTGGTGAGTTGAGTAATTATTGTTTCTTGTATTATCTTGGCTATCGGATTTTTTGTATATAACTTGATGGAGTATATTGAGCTAAGTGAGTCTGTAATGATTATCCATTTTTGGTCAACAGTGCTTTCTATATATTTTAGTGCTTCCAGAATCGCGTAAAGCTTCAAGGTCTTGATGGTTGTTGGTGTAACTATTGCTGCTCCGCAGTTTGATCCTTGTTTCGATGCGTCGGTAAATATTAGCTTGTGGTCAAGATATTTACCAACAATTTCGTAGAAATTTCTCTGTATTATTTCGTTAGGGGTGCTATGCTTGTCTAGTTCTGTTAGCTGGGTATTTACACGCGGAAGCTGAACAGCCCAAGGTGGTGCGTTTGAGACTTTGACTGGATATAATTGAGGCATTTGGCTTATATTCAACCGTATTAGGTGAGATCTAACTCTCTGTGTAGGGCTGGAATTTGCAATGGATTTCTGTCGTATTCTATGAGGGTGCGTAGGTTTTTAGAAGTGGGAGCATCTGGGTTTGATGCTGTGTTAATGATATATGATGAACTGAGAATGTCTCGTCGCAGTTGCAGTGGGGGTTCTCCTGCTTCGCAGTATAAGCTTTCCAGCGGTGTTGTTCGATAGGCTCCTAGTATGATACGTAAAGCTGTATTATGTACTACATCCAGATGCTTTAATATGTTTTTTTTTGGCAGATGCATACACGATACACCCGTAGTCTATTTTTGATCGTATTAGCAGTCTGTAAATGGTTAAAAGTGTGTTGCTTTCTGCTCCCCAGTGCTTATGTGCTAGACATTTTAACACATTAATTCTCCTTTGGCAAGACTGAATAAGCTGAGTGATATGTTTTCTCCATGTTAGACGTCTGTCAAATGTTATTCCCAGAAACCTGATTTCATCCGTGTACTCTAGCGATGTGTCATGTATTTGTAGTGATGGATTATTCTGTTCACATTTTTTGCTGAAGATGATGCATTTTGTTTTGCTGGTAGAAAACGAAAAGCCTGTCTGATTGGACCAGTGTTCTAATTTCGATAACTGCGCTTTTAAGAGTTGGGCACTGGTTTCAATATTATTGCCTCTTACGTAAATTATCATGTCGTCTGCGTAGAGTCTGGCTTGGACAGGTTTCTCCATATTATCCAAGATGTCATTGATTGTAATTAGAAAACGTGTCGGACTGATAATTGATCCCTGTGGTACACCGTTCTCTTGTGTTTTCAATTTGGACAGTGATCCATTCACTCGAACCTGGAAGTTTCTTTCACCCAAAAAGTTGGCAATGAAAGCTAATATATGTCCATTGTAGCCGCAGTCTTTAAGCTTCTCGTTTATTTTATATCTCCATGCCGTGTCGAAGGCTTTATTAATGTCAAAGTAAATGGCAAAACAGTGTTGCTGGTTTTCAAATGCCTCCTGAATATAATTGTTCAAATCGACTATATTATCCATAGTCGATCTGTTCGGCCTGAAACCTGCTTGTTCCTGTATCAGTACGTGTTTTGGTTCTAGGCTCCAGACCAGGCGCTTGTTTATAATTTTCTCAAGCAATTTACACATGTTAAGGAAATTAGTCTGTATGACTCTGGATCTAGCTGTTGTTTACCTGGCTTAACTATGGTAATGGCAATTGCTTGATTCCAGCTATTCGGAAACTCATGTTTCGACCATATTATATTGTAAATGTCCAATAAACATTTCCTACCGGATAGAGGCAGGTTCTTGAGGAAGACGGTTGGAATATCGTCTGGCCCTGGTGATGTGTTTTTCATATCTTGAAGGGCATCGAGCAGTTCGTTAATGGTTAGGGGAGTGTTGATGGTGTCTTCATTATTCTCAACTGTTATTGGGATTGTTTCCTGTTGTGTTTTGTGAGCTATGAACTCTTGAGAGTAGTCATCATTGCTGGAGTGCTTATAGTAAGTTTTCGATAGTATTTCAGCAATTTCATCGCTGTTAGTGTGAATTATCGATTCATCTTTTATAGCTTTAATTTTTTGAAAACTATTTGCGGCAGAGATACTTTTTATCTTTTTCCAAATTGTTGATATTGGTGTTCTTGTATTCATTCCTTCAACAAAATTTTGCCACGACTTTTTCTGATTTCTGTTTGTTGTAAGTCTTGCTCTGGCCTGCTTCTGTCTTAAGTCACGTAGCTTTTCAGACGTTTTGTGTCTTTTGTACTTATGTAGAGCTGATTTACTTTCTTTGAGTGCTGTCTCGCATTCTTGGTTCCACCAAGGGACTGGATTTTTCTTTTTGACGGTTTTTGTTTTCCCAATGTGTTGTTGTGCTGCTTTGGTGATTAAGGTATTAAACTCTTCTATTATTATGTTTATATTTTCGGTTAAATCGATGTTGTTAATATTGTTGTCTATATATTGCGAGTAATCAGTACAGTTGGCCTCTGTTAATCTCCATTTATTTGGTGGTATCGTATATAACTTCTATCATTTCTTGAATCTGAGATGACAATAGGAAAATGATCGCTATTATATAAGTCATCAGCAGTGGTCCAATTCAGATGCGTCAGAAGGCTCGGCGAGCATGCGCTTAAGTCGATGGTAGAAAATCTCCCTGAAGCAGCATCAAACCTTGTGCTGCTTCCATCGTTCAGTAAGGCTGGGTTGTTCGTCTCAAGTGCTTCCTTGAATAATTCTACCCTAGGATCATTTTTAAAAGAGCCCCACGAGATGCTGTGGGCGTTGAAGTCTCCTAATATTATTCTAGGGCTGGGTATTTGTTCTAAAAGAGCTTGGAGAATTCGGCAGGTTCCAAATGGTAGTCTGGTGGGATGTGAATGTTACATATGTTGAGTACATCTTTGAGGTCTATAGATATAGCTATCGCTTCTAGGTTTGTATTCAATGGAATTTTTCGGACAGGTATCTCCCTTTTGACATATATTGAGACTCCACAGCTATCAGTTTTTTTAACATGTTTAAATGGACATAGTATCCATTTAAGTTCCATTGCAATATTATTTTAGTAAAAAGATGTGTCTATTGAGGAAGTATCGCTAAGAGAGTCATTGAGACCTTTGTCGATGAGGCGTTCCAGTTTCTTCCGAAGTCTGGTGCAGCGGTTTTTTAGCGTTCTGTCATCTATATGAGAATATATTAGTAGTAACATTTCTGTAAGTCCCTTGATATCATCTGTATAGTCGTTTATGATATTTGTTATGTCTTGTACCCCATGTGTGTTTTCCAGTAAACTCTTGAACTTGTCACAATTTAACGCAAGTGGTGGGCTATGGCTGTCTATAAATGCTTTAACTGGAGATAAAGCATCGTCTTGGATGATCAACGGTCCAGTTTCCGACTTATGCTTTTTGGTGTTAATGTTTCTTGGAGTAGTGAACGTAGGACTGTTGGGTGTATTTGCTGCTGGAGGTGATAAAATATTTGAAATGGGTCTTTTGTTGGGTGCTTTATCTATTATATTTGTCTGGCTGCTACTGAATGTTACACTTTGTGGTTCATGTGAGGTGTTGGATGTCTGTACTGGTATTTCCTTGTTGCTTGGTTGAGATGAAGGGAGAAAAACTGTTGTTTTGCTATGATTCTGTTCTATGCTTTGAGTGGTTTTCGTGGCTGGGATTTCTGGCTGACTATATTGTGTGTTGCTGTTTTTTGTCAGTGGTGTGTTGTTTACAGAAGGACAGTGTGAAGCAATATGACCAGAAAGTTTACATTTAAAACATTTCTGACTGTCTAGCGATAAGAAGATGCGATGACTATCGTGAGTGATTTCGATAGACTCAGGTATTTGGTTAGATAGATACGGTAGCAAGACGAAAATTGTTTGTGTTATGGTTCACTTTTAATACGGTAAATTCACGAGCTCACTATCAGATAGACTAACTGACTCGGTAGCAGGACCGAACCTTCCATGATCATTTGAATATAGAAAACTGCTAGAATTAAGTGTTAAAATTATAATAGCGGATGATAGATATCTGACGGGAAGGCGACATCTAAATAAATTGCATGCCCCTCTATGTATCTATCTGATGTATATCGGACCTATTTGGGGTTCTACATCTAAAATTAGTGATTTTCAAAACTATATAAACTAACTATTGCTTTGCTGTGACGCGAGTAATTGAGTATTTTTATCAAGGAAATATGTACTAAATGAAACAGTTTTTTCGTAATTCCCTTTTATTACTACCGTTACGTATAAAGTCTCACAATGTCTAGTTGTTTTGCAGGTAAATTGGTGATAGGGCACTTTTGATATTCATTTAAATGCCTTAAAATACACCGAAAACAGAAAATGTACCCGGATACCTGCAATGCTGTGGGTGTTGACCAGAGTTTAAGGCATAATGGACAGCGTCCTGTGTACTTCTGTGCATTCGTACCAAACTGAAAATAAAATTATTTTTATTTCAATCAGTTATAAAATAATATCAGTTATAATAGAACTCCACATATGTATTAATTACTTTTTACTGACGTGGCACACCGTGGTGGCATTTTCAAAGTACAAAATACATTTGTATATGCAACTATCTTCAGATGGCAGTTCAGACACTTAATTTTTTAAGCTTTTTGGTATTCTTCTAGTTTCGAATAATCTTTGTGCGTGGTAAAAAAATATTTAGAGGAAAGGAACCAAATTTGAGATAGTTTTTATGAAAAGGAAAAATAAAGTACTTGTTGTTTTAAACGAGTGTATATTTTTTAATAAACTTGCGATTTGATGCTCCTAGCATACTCTAAAATAAAAAAATAATATTAAATGTATTTTTTTACAGACAAAAAGTATATTTTAAAAAAATTTTTGTGAATTTACACTTGGTTCCCTAATTTGAGATACAATTCAAAAAATGTGCAGAAAGTGCAAATGAAAATTTTATCTCTTCACAATCTTTATGTGCCCATTTACTACAATGTCTGTATTTTGCCCATTTTTCACCCTTATCTTCGGAAAATCGACCCGTAAAAAATAAACATTCAGCATCGCTTTCATGTTACTTTCGCTGCATTCTGAACTTGAACTGGAGGGGGAAAGTATCTATCCGAATCCTTTTATTGAGGCTTTTAAATAATCCATCTGCTTACTCTTGTATTTCCAGGCATCTGCATCTTGATACAGAGCCCTAATTTGAGATAGTCTCAAATTAGGAAAACTTGGGTATCTCAAATTAGGAATTTTCCGTTAAAAAGTTTACACAAGCATATTTAGGTTATATACCTAATAAAATCACAATATTGTAAAAGAAAATAAATAAGGTATTTATAAACTACTAAATTTATTTCAGACAATTGTTCTAAATAACTTACCTTAATTTTAGTAATCACCTTTCTCGCACTATTAAAAATATTTTTAACTCTCAAGAAGTAATAAGTTGTGATGTCACAGCAAACCATGTGCAAAACTAAACTATAAACACATGTAGAATACTACTGCGCTTAGTTCACAACTTTTTGGTATTACTAGAAGATGGTGCTACAAAGATACAAAGTTACACCACTGTCTCAAATTAGGCGCTGGTCTCAAATTTGGTTCCTTTCCTCTAATGTGTCCGGGGTTGTATTCTTATTTTTTCAGTATGAGCAACTTCAGTATTACAAGGTGGTATTTTTATACAGCACTTAGAAAACACATCAAACAAAATGCTATGTTGAGGTTGTTTTAGTCTCTTATTATAAACGCAATTGCTACGTAAATGATACAGGGTGCGGCAGAGAGGACGGACGTTTTTGGGATGGGTAGTACTCTCCGCCTCCGTCTACTAGAGAGGTGGGGCGGGTGCCGTTTGACTCGTGAGATCCTAGCATTATTTTACCAGTTGTCGTTATGGCGCCTTGGACGGTGGAGCACCGCGTTTTCGCCTATGAGTGACGAAACCCACTTTCACCTGAACAGCATGGTTAACCGGCAGAATTGTGGTTATTGGGCTAATGAAAAACAGTTACACGAAAGACTGCTGGACAGCGCAAAAGTAACTGTTTGGTGCGCTGTATCGCAAACTTGCATCATTCGCCCTTACTTCTTCGAAGACGGTAATGGTCGTGATGTTACCGTGAACTCAGAGCGCTACGTCGACATGATCACCAACTTATTTCTCCCTGAATTACGACGGCGACGTGCTCCAATCCGTCGTGTGTGGTTCCAGCAGGATGGGGCGACCGCCCACACAGCCCGAGCATCCATGGAGGTTATTCGCCCTCTCTTCCCTGGTCGCTTTATTCCCAGGTTTGGCGATGTTCATTGGCCTCTTCGGTCTCCAGATTTATCCATATGCGATTTTTTCTTATGGGGACACCTCAAGGCTAGAGTATACGCGAACAAGCCCCGAACTCTGGACGAATTGAAGGGCGAAATTCAGTGGAAGTCGCCCTGGTGGAGAGAGCGATGTTGGAGGGAGTCTACGCGAACTTCCAAGAACGCCTCCAGCACTGCATCAACGATTTCGGCCACCACATGCCTGATGTGATTTTCCACACTTGACTGTCCCAAATGCTATTTCCTTGTGAACCTGATTCCATCAATAAATTTGTTTTCGAGTAAAAATTAACTATTTTATGATTTTTTGAAAACCGCCCTCTCTGCCGCACCGTGTATAATCCACTAAAATGTTAGCTGTTTTTCAATAAAACTAGTTTAAAGATCCTGCAAAAATGTGAGTTATTTTTGATACCAGATTGGGGTTTATTGAGCATGTCAAAAATCTATTTCGGAAAACCTATGCCCCCTTGATGCAAAATAGATTACTACTTAATTTTAAATTACAAAAAAGGAAGCCTTTATGGCCTCTTTGATTTCGATAATATTATGTCTTCTTCGGTAAGATACATGTATGTACTGCTTTAGATTTGACGTTTAAGGAATTTTAGACACACGAATCGAAGGCAGAACCATAATCGATCAGTCAATAATACTTCGCTACATTGAACAAATTCTACAACCTGTGGTATCTTCAAAAAACTGTTGTGTTAAGAAAATTAATGCACATACTTATCGCATTATTTTCAGGTGTGATTCATTCTCACGACTTTATGAGATGGTTCCTCCATGTATATGAAACATTGTATGGCAAGTGCAATTATTGTATATATGCACAAGTATGTATAATCTGTGTATGTGAAGATCATAATTAAAATTATTGAGCATCGCTATTTCAGGGTGCTCAAAATGCCATGGTCGTGTAGGATTACCAAAAATGAAGTGTTGCAGAGAGTAAACGAAAAATAAAGTTGCAGCATGAGGTAAAATCAGAAAAACTTTATGACACATAAAATTTCATAATTATTCACGAATGGGAAAATAAAAGAAAATTGTGACTCATCAACGGAATTACTTTCCTGTTAAACAAACTCCAGACAATTCAAACAACTAGATAAGCGGAGACCCACTATGTTGAAAATGGTAGTTACCTCAAAGTCAGACTAGGTTAAGTCCTAATAGGTAGTTTTACGATAATTGCATTGCATTCATAATTCACTTATCATGAACTTATTTTATTTAAGACTCATTTTAGGCAAACATGAACTTAACCTAACCTGGCTCTGAGGTACAGAATTTGATTTATATTTAAACTGCTGGGTATAAATTTTGGATTTAAATTGCTATTAATAATAGAGCATTCAGCTACTGAGCATACTAAAAAAAAATACTTCAGTGGCATCATCAATAACAAGGAGATCAATGCACTGAGAATCAAAGAACAATTTGTTGTATTTATCAAGTGTGTTGCACCATATATATTAGTATTGTAGAATGTGGTATATGAAGAAAAGGCGAGGAAACCTAAATACAGTTTCTTTTCCAATTAGTTCGATGACTTGTAATCTTAACATAAAAAGGAAAATCTATTAAAACTGTGGCATAGGAAAGAAAAACATGTTCTGTTTGAGAAAGAAATATCAAAAACCAAACAGGTTTGATATTTGAAACACTCAAATGAAGAGCAGATTTTGCTAGTTATGATAGTCACAGTAAAAAAAATTTGAAATATTTGGCTCGAAAGTCTGCATTTATTTCTTGTAGCTGCAATTTAGTGTGTTTCCTAATCGAATGTTCATAGACAGTGTTGATAGACAGTGATGGTATGCCGTTTATTTCTCTCTTATTAAAATTTTCAATCACTTCTAATCAAAAATCACTTGGATTTTTTTTCACTCTCATGCACGGTTTTTATAAAAACGATCATAACAATATTGTTAACATTACAATATCACCATGCAGAGAATTTTTGGGTAGAAATAGTGGGTCGGACATGAAAAATTAAATTCTTTTAGTCTGACGCACGGTTTTCACCCGAAAAATACAATCTATTTCTCGACATGTGACACTATCATACTAACGATCCTAGGATCATGCAAAGAAACGTTATTTTATTTTTGTAAGCGAATACCGTGCATCGGAGTGAAAAAATAGTTTGTTTTAAGAGAAATCAGTTGCGTACCATCATTGTCTGCCAAAGTAAGCAAGTGAAATCGGTACGCTGGTGGAAATCAAAAGAAAATTCGTATATTAAAAATACCTCTTGATGGTACATATATGCAGAATTTTAATAAAGTATTTAAAGTGATATTACAGGTCGTAATAAAACAATTATTAATTTTCAAAAAGTTTACCACCCTCTTTCTCAAAAGTCAAGACGTTTACGACATACAATTATATGAAGTTTTCTTCTAAAAATGGAACCAAAAGTCGCCCTCTTAAATATTGACATTCAGTTGGAAAACACCCTATATATTTTATGTAAGTAAATTTGAAATTATTGAAGGTTATTGTAATACACTATTGCAGTTTTTCATTTTGGATTTGTTTTTTTGACTATATATTTGTTAATATTTCCTGTTATTATTTGTAAATTTTAGATATGACTTCATTTGATTACTGATACTTATGTATTTTGACATACTATCTATGAATTCCTTAACAATTTCATGTATTATATTTTTCAGGTGATAAGTATTTGCAGAATATAAATAAAAAAATACTTGTTAAAATAAATACTTTTTTATTCTCAAGCGTATGCCCACAGAAATACAATAGGTTCTTTCAAAAATATCTAGAAATATAGATTTCATCAAGTTTTAATCCTTCTGTTCTCTTGAAACAAATGTTTTTTTCTCTAGCATGATGTTAACTAGATTATATTATATCCAATTTAAATATATTGACTCTTCTTTTTCCTCTAACAACGTTACACTGGAGTTATTCTGTCTTGGAACAGTATCTTGTACCCTGGAATTGTCAGGATCAGATGTATCTTTGAGCAATGCAAGTACATCTGAAAAAATACTATTATAAGTAATGGTGATTTCTTACGTTTTAGTCCTAGGTACCGATATAACCATAAGTGTTGAGATATGTATTTCATATAGCATTTTTGCTAGATCACTGTCACCATTTGCCACTGTGTTGTGATATTAAGTATTCAATCTCAAACCCATGGCATCAGCTTTGTGTGATTTTGTCAAATAGAACTGTTGATTAAAATATTCAAAAATTCACTTTTGTGTAATATTTTAGCTATCTCACATGCAACATTAGTCATTAGAGATTTGAGAACACCCCGCCCAGGCATAACAAAGCTCCTCTTGAACTCGGTAGCTTTTAACTTGTATGATTATACAGGCTTATGCCTACCTTTAATTTACAAATTGCATTGTAACACATGTCAGTCACAAAAAGCAAATTGACTTTTTATTTCTGTAAGGATGGCTCCTTCAAATATGATTTCAAGTGCCTGGCTGCATGAATCCCTTCTTCGGAAAATCATCTTTCCAAAATAGATATGGAATTTTACTCAGTTTTGTATGCAATATCACGATGGTTTATATCTACAAAAAAGATGCATTGATTCAAGAAACATTAAAAATCTTACACCTTGGTGTGGGCTGCATTCATATAAAAATATTTTTCAGAGTTAGTCTCAAATTTTTAGGTTAAGGTTCCCACTAATATAAAAAAATAACAGATAGGGCAGGGCACGTTTAAACTCAATTTCAAAGCATTTACACATTATACATACTTGTAGCCTGACACTATGCAATCCAAAGTCCAACAATGATTGTGAACAGGCAAAAAATGTTTCTTATTCAACATCTCATAAAGTCTGTGAGAATGAACCACTCCTGAAAATAATACGATAAGTATATACATAATATGAATATGCAATAATTTGTTTTGTAACTTACCTACCTTCATCAATGGAACAGCTTGATTGTAACTTGTTGTCAACATTATTTGCAAGATTATGCTTCTGCGTTCGATTCATGTGTCTAAAATTTCTTAAACGTCAAAACAACAACATAACCTCTAGCCAGAACTGTCAGCATGTCGGAAATCTAAAGCAGGACATACAAGTACCTCATCGAAGAAGACATGATATTATCGAAATCAAGTAGGTCATAAAGGCGTTCCACAATTGTAGGACGCCTTTATGCCTTCCTTGATTTTAATAATAGTATGTCATCAGAAAGGTACTTGTATGTACTGCTTTAGATTTCTAGCCTGCTGTCAATCAGAAGTCAATTGTGATGTTAGGTTATGTTTCTTTTTTGACGTTTAAGAACGTTTAGACCGATGCATTAAATGCTTAAGGATATTTTCTTGCAAATAATGTTTATCATTCAATAATAATTTCCTACATTGAACAAATTCGTCAGGCTGTGGTATCTTCAAGTTCCATATCTGGTATTAAAGATCAACAATTTAATGCAAATGGATGAGTATTTATATATATTTGCCTAACAGGTTACAACGAAGGTGTTCCTTGATGAAGGTAGGTAAGTTAAATATTGCATATTCTTATTTATATACTTATCGCATTTTTTTTCAGTTGTGGTTCGTTCTCACAGACTTTATGAGACATTGGATAAGAAACATTGTATCCCAAGTGCAACTGCATTGTTAGACTTTGGTTTGTGTAGTGTCAGGCTACAAGTATGTATAATGTGTAAATGCTCTGAAATTGAGTTCAAACATGTCCTGCCCTATCTGGTATTTTTTTATATTAGTGGGAACCTTAACCTAAAAATTTCAGACTGTAACTCTAAAAAATATCATTATAAAATTGTAGCCCACACCAACGTGTAAAATTTTTAATGTTTCTTGAGTGGATTCATGCATCCAGGCACTTGAAAGCATATTTGAAGGAGCCAACCTTACAGAAATAAAAAGTGAATTTGCTTTTTGTGACTGACATGTGTTACACTGCAATTTGTAAATTAAAGGTAGGCATAAGACTGTATAATCATAAAAGTTAAAAGCTATCGAGTTCAAGAGGAGCATTGTTATGCCTGGGCAGGGGGTTCTCAAATGTCTAATGGTTAATGCTGCATGTGAGAGCTAAAATGTCACACGAAACTCGATAAAGTGGCTTTTTGAATATTGTAATCAACATTTCCATTGGACAAAATCTCACAAAGCTGATGCCATGGGTTAAATAAACATCCAGTGATCTAGCAAAAATGCTATATGAAATACATATTTTAAAACACATATGCTTAAATCGGTACTTAGGACTAAAACATAAGAAATCACCATTACTTATAATAGCATTTTTTCAGATCTACTTGTATTGCTCAAAAATACATCCAATCCTGATAAGCCCAGGGTTTACGATACTGTTCCAAGACAGTAACTCCAGTGTAAGGAACGTTATTAGAGGGAAAAAAGAAGAGCCAATATATTTAAATTGGATATTTCAAGAAGTTTGGTACCTGGAGCTAATTAACTTTCCAAAATCATCTAAAGTACCCCCAAACTAGAAAGATTTCTTTGTAATTGATTAGATAACCTTTTAGCCCTGTTTACATAGCTTATATACTAAGTGACATATAAATCCGAACACCCAGTTTAAATGGTTTTATTTTAATAAAATTTTGTATAAGTACTTAATGAAGCATAATAAGTAAATGATAAAAATTTCAAAATGATTGCACTGCTTTAAAGCCCTTTGACCTTTAATAATGTGTGGATGCACCCTGATGTGCTACGCATTCTCCAACGCGCCTAGGCATGCTTCTGATCAGGTAGTCAATGTCCTCCTGTGGTATCTCATTCCAGGCAACCACCAACTCCTCTCGAAGTGCTTCTAGAGTCTGAGGAGGACGTTGCAAATTGAGCAATCTCCTACCCATCATATCCCACACGTGCTCAATTGGGGATAAGTCGGGAGATCTTGGTGGCCATGGTAACAATGTGACATCATTATGTTGAAAGAAGTCTATTGTGACTCTTGCAACATGTGGTGGGGCATTATCTTGTTGGAAAGTTGGATCTGCCAGGTTGTCAAGATAGGGTAAAAGATGGGGTTCTAGAACTTCGTGGATATAACGCTGCGCGTTCATGTTACCTCTGATGAAGATTAAAGGTGACCTGGAACCATAAGCTATAGCACCCCAAACCATAACTCCAACAGTGTGATGAACATGTGTTTCAACAAAAAACTGTGGATTCCTCCTTTCACCACGTCGCCTTCTAACCCTGGCACGACCATCGTGCATGCCTAAACAAAATCGAGACTCGTCACTAAAGACTAAATACTGTTCCATTCCTGATCCCAGAGTGACCGTTGTCTGCACCACTCAAGGCGATTACGTCGGTGTTCTCGAGTTAAAGGGAGCACCCAGTGTGGCCGGTATGAAAACAAGCCAAAACTTCTCATTCGTCGGTAAACACTTCGCATGCCAATAGGTCTTCCGTGTTCTGCAAACCATTCATTTGCAATGGACCTGGTAGTGGAGAAACGGTCCCTTAAGGCCAATAATCTTAGGCGGCGATCTTCACGGTCTGTTGTTCTACGGCGGCGTCCAGTGCCCCTGGCTCTTTGCGTAAGGCCTTCTCGAAGCCTTGCCTGACAACACCTAACCACAGTGTCTACACTTCTTTGCACTCTAACTGCAATTGCCCGAAAAGAAAGTCCAGCTTCCCGAAGTCCCACTATACGGCCCCTATCAAACTCACTCAGTTGACAAAATCGTACAGGTCTCCGTACTCTAGGCATCGTAACCGATCGTAAAGGATGTCAAGAACCAAAATCCGCCAACGTTGATTCTTTACTGCGGCTGAAATATTCATTTTTAGAGCGTTAGTGAATTAAAAAAAAAACAGTACAAAAACCGGAATGTCCAACTGATAAGGCTGAAAATTTTTTTACTTGTTATTTACAGTAAGATAAATACATTCACCAACTTTTATTAAAATAAAACCATTTAAACTGGGTGTTCGGATTTATATGTCACTTAGTATAATTTAGAAAAAAGCATAACGTCATGCTGGAGAAAAACATTTGTTTTAAGAGAAAAGAAGGATTAAAAATTGATGAAATCTATATTTCTAGATATTTTTGAATGAAACTATTGTATTTCTGTGAGTATACAATGTAGAATAAATAATATCTATTTTACCAGTATTCTTTTATTTATATTCTGCAAATACCAACTGAAAAATATGATACATGAAATTGTTAAGGAATTCATAGACATATGTCAAAACACATAAGTATCAGTAATCAAATGAAGTCTTTATATCTAAAAGGTACAACTAATAAAAGGAAGTATGAAATAATATATAGTCAAAAAAACATCCAAAATGAAAAATTATTTTTTTTGTTAAGATCTGTAATACCACTTTAAATACTTTAATAGAATTCCGCATAAATGTATTATCAAGAGGTAATTTTTAATGTACGAATTTTCTTTTGATTTCCACCAGCGACGTCCGTACCGATTTCACTTGCTTATTTTGGCAGACAATGATGGTACGCAACTAATTTCTCTTAAAATAATAACTTTCAATTGAAATGCCGTCATTTCTAAGCAAATTTGATTGCTTAATTTTTGTTCACTCCGATGCACGGTATTCGCTTACAAAAATAAAATAACGTTTCTTTGCATGATCCTAATATCGTTAGTACGACAATGTCACTATGTCGAGAAATAGATTGTATTTTTCAGGTGAGAATAAAAAAGTATTTATTTTAACAAGTATTTTTTTATTTATATTCTGCAAATACTTATCACCTGAAAAATATAATACATGAAATTGTTAAGGAATTCATAGATAGTATGTCAAAATACATAAGTATCAGTAATCAAATGAAGTCATATCTAAAATTTACAAATAATAACAGGAAATATTAACAAATATATAGTCAAAAAAGCATATCCAAAATGAAAAACTGCAATAGTGTATTACAATAACCTTTAATAATTTCAAATTTACTTACATAAAATATATAGGGTGTTTTCCAACTGAATGTCAATATTTAAGAGGGCGACTTTTGGTTCCATTTTAAGAAGAAAACTTCATATAATTGTATGTCCTAAACGTCTTGACTTTTGAGAAAGAGGGTGGTAAACTTTTTGAAAATTAATAATTTTTTTATTACGACCTGTAATATCACTTTAAATACTTTATTAAAATTCTGCATATATGTACTATCAAGAGGTATTTTTAATATACGAATTTTCTTTTGATTTCTACCAGCGTACCGATTTCACTTGCTTACTTTGGCAGACAATGATGGTACGCAACTGATTTCTCTTAAAACAAAAACTACTCTTGAAATCCCGTCATTTAAGCAAATTTGATACATTATTTTTTCACTCCGATGCACGGTATTCGCTTACAAAAATAAAATAACGTTTCTTTGCATGATCCTAGGATCGTTAGTATGATAAGGTCACATGTCGAGAAATAGATTGTATTTTTCGGATGAAAACCGTGCGTCAGACTAAAAGAATTCAATTTTTCATGTCCGACCCACTATTTCGACCCAAAAATTCTCTGCATGGTGATATTGTCATGTTAACAATATTGTTATGATCGCTTTTATAAAACCGTGCATGAGATTGAATAAATATCATTACGGAACGATTTTTGTTTCGAAGTGATTGAAAATTTTAATAAGAGAGAAATAAATGGCATACCATCACTGTCTATCAAAATAAGCAGGTAAAATTAAAACAATGCCTCTTGAGACGTTTACATGTATGCCAAATTTCATTAAGTGGTATTATAGATATTCTTAATCAAGGATTTCTTTTTTTGACCTTTTTTACCACCCTGTGTTTCAAAAGTTAAAACATTTAGGACATACAATCATTTGAAGTTTTTATCTTAAAATGGACCTCAAACCACCCCCCTAGATATGGACATTCATTTAGGAAACAAACCAAATTGCAGCTACCAATACTACAAGAGATAAATGCATACTTTCGAGCCAAAGATTTATACTTTTTTTACTGTGACTATCATAACTCGCAAAAT